ATAGGACCAACATGTAGATCTCCATGGATTACATAGATAGGACCCGCATATACATATCCAAGGATTACTAAGATAGGACCAACATATAGATATCCATTGATTACTTAGATAGAACCAAAATATAGATATCCATGGATGACGTAGATAGGACCAACAGATAGATATCCATGGATGATGTAGATAGGACCAACATATAGATATTCATGGATTACATAGATAGGACCAACATATTGATATCCATGGATGGATTGCATAGATAGGACCAACATAAATAAATAAATAAATAAAGTTTAATTATGATAAAAATCCGAGTATCAACATTCATATGAAATAAGATTATACATTTTTAATTTGTCATATTGTATTCAAGGACTCCAAGCCAGGGTTCCTTGGGGACCTCCTCCAGGCATGTGGTAGGTAGAAGAAGTAGTTCCATTGAACTTTACCAACATATATTGGTCCTGGAGATAACTAGCAAGTAGCTAATTAGTAGGCCCAAACACCAATAGTGGAAAATGTTTGAATTGCAATGTTAGGGCATTGTCTATAAAATGCTGCTGACCAATCTAACATAGTGGCAATTACAGCAGGCGAGGATTGACCAACATATCGATATCCATGGATGGATTACATTGATAGGACCAACATATAGATATCCATGGATTACATAGAAAGAACCAATTGTAGATATCCATGGATTAAATAGAAAGAACCCATTGTAGATATCCATGGATTACTTAGAAAGGACTACACAAAATATACATGCGATGACATAGATAGGACCAACAAATAGATTACATATAGATGATGCATAACGGGTTAAATGATACTAGTCTTTAGGCAAAAAAGAAAACTCCATTACAGCTGGTAAGTGTTATGTTCCCTCAAAAAACTACGAAACTTTGTAATTCGTATACATTTACATCCTAATGTTGAAAAATTGATCAGTTTTTTTCATAAGTCTCAAAATACTAAAAATGTTTGTTTTTTTTGTCTATTTTTAACGTGCAATTGCTTTTTATTGCAAACTATATAGTTGTTTATTTAATTTTTTTAAGAATCTAAATTCAAATCTGAAAAAGCTTGCCAACAATTCTATTTCCTTTAAATCTTAAAGTTTTTTACTTTCATCTACAGTGATAACCAGAAAACAATGGAGTATTAAGACGATATTACAGCAATACTTTAGTTAAGTGTATTTGATGTTGCTACAAAGCAAAAAGTTTACTAGACACTTAATAGATCATGTGTGAAATGGGTCTTTTTACACTGCCTCATTGCTGTGTCCCCCCCCTTTCAAATGTTCGGTCTGTACTTTATGGAAGAGAAAATAACAATAAATAAGTTTCTTATATTAAGTTTATTCGGAAGAAATGATATTCTTCCTTAAAACTTTTTTTGCTGAATCATTCAATAAGGCCCAGCACTGGAAAAAAAAATTATACGTAAGTAGAACAGTAATTAAGGGGGGGGCACGGGCAGCCGTAGTACAATTTGAATTTCCGAGCCGGGTCAATCTTCCCGTTCACAGATAGTAATGTACCTATCTCTATGGACAAGAGTAGTGGTGCAATAAGGTTGACGCGGTCAGACTTTATGCATCATATACTTATTTATTTACTTTTACTAAAGGGGCAGAGGTGCGTGGGGAGGTTTTCTTGCTGAGTCGTCTCTGTAATCTCATCCTTTGTGGGTATCTGTGTACTATATAGTATATGTAGATTTTGTCTATTTGCATTATAAAAGAGTACCCTGGTTATAATATCGTTCTATTATAAATGAAAAGGAACAGAGAATTGTAAAATAAATCAAACGTCTCAAGAATATATTTTTCTTTATTGAAAAACTTCCCCATTCTTGGAAAATATTTTCTCATTTATTGCAAGAGTCTCTTATTTCTAACTGCGCAAATAATTATTTTATCAAATTGCAATGTATAAACCATCCCAATGCCAAACATATTTAAAGCTTAGGGAACAAAATACGTACTGAAGACACTTTCTCTAATTGTGTTGCTTGGCGAGGGGAGGAAGGTCAACCACAACAATTTCTTGTCCGAGACACCTCGAAATCCTTGTTCTTCTCATTATTATGTCTTTTCTGCCTCCGTTATAGCTAACCTTCGTGATACAAAATAAATAGCAAAATATTTGGCATACCTCTGCCTATAATTTTCCCCATGGAACCACCCGAAAAAAAATCTATGGTTTTCGCTATAATAAGCAAAAAAAAATTCAAGTTCTATAAATTTAAAACTTTTTGCGGCATTCTACACCTAGATTATCTGAAAATGTGCGTAAAAAGGTGAATATTTTTCAGGACATTGCACTCAAAAACTTTAATTCTATTGAAAGTATTATTTTTTATTACGATTTACAAAATTTTATATTTCGTTTTTCCTCTAACTTGATCTGATTCTTAGAAAATCTTGGAGAATTGAACACTTTAAAAAGATAATATTCGAAGGACGAGGATTTCGAGGTGGCTCGGACGAGAAAATGAGGAGAATGTGGCTCGGACTAGAAATTGTTGTGGATGACCTTCCTCCCCTCGCTTGACACAGTTTCGATTTTTAATTTGAAATTTAAAATTTAATACACTGTCTTGAATTTCGGGCTCTGGGTAGTTCAGACTCGACCGTACGGCTGAATGCATATACAATATACAGTAAATGTTTTAATGGCTCGGATCATGGGGGAGTAACTTTAAAGCGAACATGCAGTGGTCTGTGATCTAGCTAAACTTCATTTGATGGATAAAACTCATAGAGAATAGAATATATAGAGAGGAATTAAAAGAATCTCTCGGTATGAATTTTTTCAGTCCCTTTCAGCCTGAAAGGGAGTTCAAAGTGTACAAATCATGTAAATGTTCACAAATTATATGCAGTAGAGTACATTAATACAGTATGTTCCCTAGACTATCCATTTCAATTTCGAATTTTTTAAACTTTTAAATAAACTTTATAATGAATTAGGTGAATAAAAAAATCATTTGATTTATAGTTATAACGGAAAATCATCGTTTGTAAAGTGGAAGGCATAGAGTCTATGTGAAATGATCATTGGTCAATTATGAAACCAGCCTATTTCATAATTTGGTTTTCTTTTAACAATAATTTTAGATTTTCTATAAAATGATATTCCAGGGCCCAACAGGTTATATAGCATAAAGATGTGAAGTACACCTGCAGTATGGAAACAGTACAACAAAATGGCCGTTTTACACTTTTTTCCAGTAAATTCCTCTCTATATATTCTATTCTCTATGATAAAACTGGATGGTGCGACGGGCTGCACATAAAGTACATGTTGTAATGACTCGGATCATATTTAATTCAATTTAAAAAAAAACTAATTCTGAAAACGTATCCACCCCAAAGTAGAAGTTTTGAACGTCGAATTTGGGCTCAAACTTTGGATTTAGAGATCTTTAAGAAGTTTAATATGTCTCAAATGAATCCGAAAGAAGCTTTCCACAACACTGCATACTCAGTTTAACTACCTTACAAAGCCTGTCACTCCCTTTAATACAAAAAAAGTAGAAAAAGTTTAGTTGAGTATTTTCCAATAAATCCCGTCAAATTGCAGTATTGTTTAAAAGGAATTTGACACTTTACCTGGAAATAAAATAGTTAGAATTTCCTAAAAAACAATATTGTTTAAGACCAGAGTATACGTTTCTTCACAACACTACCCATGGTGACTATATATCGTCTTGAATATATGATTATGTGTCCTAATTATCTATCTAACAGATGAGAATTTACCATGAGACATTTAGCAGCCAAACTTTTGGTCGCCAAAAGTACGTCATTAGGACGGACCTTAAACATACAAGAAACGTTCTCAGTCAGTCAGACAGCTAGACAACCTTTATGTCCTTGCTATCGAAAATTGAACTGAACACTCCCATTCTAAACTCCAAAATGGAGAGAACTTTCAAAAATTATGAATTTTACTTGATCTTATGAAAAATGTTAAACAATTTTAAAAGTTCAGAGGCCGAATTTAAAGAATTTGAAATGCAGCTTAAATTTAAGCCGTGGCTAAAATTTGGTTGGTTCCACTTAAAATCGTATATAATGTTTCAAGATTTAAGCCGGCGTTCAATTGAAACCGGGTTTTGGAAAATTTGAGAGATGCGGCTCAAATTGCATCGCTACTTGAATCCCTAATTACCTGTATACACAATCACACCCAAATTTTGTACGCTCAGCAGTTCGGAACCCTAGCTACAATCCTTAAATTTCCGTACTGCATTGCTCTCATAAACCGTACTGCATTGTTGGAGGTGGAAGGGGGGTGGGAGAAAAGGGAGAAATTGAGGAGGAAGGGATACAAGATGGAGGAGGAGGGTAAAGAAGATTGCAAAAAAAAAAACATGAAAGGAAGAAAAACGATAAAAGAGAAGAAGAGATATTACCAACAGTACCTTATAGTGTTGATCGAATTCATGTATTTGACCGTTTTGTCGACGAATTCTAACCCCTTCAACACTCCCCCCCCCTTCCCCCACTGCATACGCCCATAAACTAGTCAATCCTTTCCCAGTCATTCAATACTCTTCAAAAGAGTAAGGTACGGTTTTCTAATTTTTCCTTTAAGTTTTATGTGTTCTGACAATATTCAATTTGAAAAATTCCATTTTACATAAAAAAGATTTTTATTTTTGTTCTCTTCTGTATTTATTATAGTTGCTGTGTTTGTATTTTTTATTTTTATTTTTTGCTTATATCTGTTATATTATAGGACTAACTCCTGATGATGCCAAAGTTTTTGGCGAAATATATTGAGAAGAAAATGATATAATTCTAGTGCTAGAGAGTAGGGTTGGGATTTGTTTAAAAACGATCTAAAGAATACTGAAACTACATTAAAATACTTTTGTACACTTTTGTATTAATCTTTTATGAAAAATAGAAGAAAAATAAATTCCGATGAAAATTTACACACCAGGCCCACTTTGCTTATCTTGTTCTATACTAGAAAACTAATTAATCAAAACTCATATATATGTATTTGTTCTTTGTACGAAATCCTTACAAACTATAACATTTTATCAATAAATTACAAAAACTTAAATTTGTTCATTTTTCTTTAGAATTCTGGAGGAAGAGATCCCTTTCTTCTGGATCTACATTGTACTAACATCTCTCTAATATTTATATATCAAATCTAAATATTATTTAAACCCTTAATATTAGTAGCATGTTGGATTCACTAGGTACACTTAGTAGTGTTGAATGAATGAATGTATAATATTCAGGTTTTATTTTTATAAAATAGATTATTGTCAATTGCTTCTTGTTAAAAGTGAAGTTGCGGATTTCTATTTTAGAAAAAATGAGAGAAATTATAAGAATGTATCACTTAAATAAGAAGAAATATTACGCTTATGATTGCAATCAGATAACGATTTGTCAATTCATTTGCATTGAATCAATTTCACAGATAAAAATTATAAAAGATATTAAGTGCTATTCAGGGTTACACACATAATGACAATACTTCAATGACGACCTGAAACCTTGCTTAACTACGGTGTTAGGCGATTTTATCAACACAATGAAGACGACTTTCGTTTTATATTTTGATTTATATCAAGCAAACATTTTATCATTTTCCAAATTTTAATTCGAAAAAAAGCTTTTTTTAACAATTAAAACTTAAATAACAAGTCGTCTTCATTTTATTTATATAATGGTATAGCCTTTTTATCGAACTTTATATGATTTTGCAAAGTAAGTAAAAAGTTTACAGCTGCAGGTTGAAAAAGACAGAACAAATTACGCAAATCTTTGCTGAAATCTTATTCTTTGTGGTCAACCCTGTAACCCTGTGTATCTTTTATCTTTAAGATTACGAAGTCGTCTTCAATTTTGTCAAACATTTCATTTTAGAAAACTATTTTCTAATTTAGGTAAGCAAAAAATTATGTCTGGAGAAAACCTAGTGAAGCAAAATAGGAGATTTAAAATTAATTACTAAACTTCTAATTTTCATTTCAGCAGTAAATGTTAAATCATTTGAAACCACGAAAAAAAATGTTCAAATTTGACGGGATTTTGTTCAGTTTAAGGTTAACAAAAAATGAATTATTATAAAGTTAGAATTTATTCGTTGTAAGTCTTGAGAATGTGATCAAGCATTGATCTCAATCATCTTATGCATTTAATCATTCCATTGAAGAATAACTTTTACTGAGGGATCAATCATTTATCCTCAAATTTTAAAGTTCCCGTATTTGATATCGAGATGAAACGTGTAAGAATAACGATACTCCACACAAAAGTTCAGACCTTAGTAGATATCTTCAAATATAATGTAAAAATCCATTAATGAATATTAATTAGCAGAATGAATTTGCATCAGGAAGTTTATATAAAGTTTTGGAAAGTAAAATTCATGGTTTAATGAAAGTCAACAACTTTAGAAAAACACTGTAAAAACTATATCTCTGATTTTCCCGACAAGTAAGACTAAACAAGGGACGGAATGCTAAAAAGTTCTTAGAGTAAAAAAATTGAGTTTTTTTTAAGAAGTTTGTCCCAAAGTTTAATGGTTCAAGTGCTGGGAAGGCAATTGTAATAATTGCTGTAAGAACGTCGTTAAAATGTAGTTAAATGAGTGCTAGGGCAAAACCACTACAGGTGGAAGCTAATCACTCCCTCCCCCAATCCCACATGCTGTTAGGGCTGAAAACACATTCATTTTTCAATATTTTGTTTATTTGATGTTGTTGAAGTAAATATTTAATAATAGCTTCAAAATCAACTCATTAATGGACAAAGGTCTGTGTACATTGCACAGTTGCAGTGTTTTATCAGTTAGAAATTAAACTTTGAGGCTTACAGTCGTCTTACTAGATAAAACAGCTTTATGTGTACCCCTGTATCTGTTATTAAAGGTATAGTATACAAAATAAGTTCTCGTAAAATCCCACCCTTAGAAATTCTCATGAAATCACAAATTAGAGCTTTGCAACCTAAACCCTGCAGAAAAATTCTAAAGCTGAGGTTGTTAAAAAAAAAGAATTTTAAACTGTGGAGCAATTTTCCAGCATTTAACATGGAATTTAGCTCATCAAGTCATGATTATGATTTATTTTCTTTTTCTGAAACGGATAAATTTTTTGTTTAACAATCTGGATCTAAAATATAATTTTGATCATGCATGCCAGAAACATGAAAAAAGTCGCAAAACTTGGTGAATTTTGTGCAAAAACTAAATTGAGTTTGGTTCAGCGTGTACAGTTTAAAGTTAGTCCAGTGTTGAGTAAAACCAGCTAGAACACTAGAAGTGGTATTATAGAATTTCAAAGGAAGCAGCTAACTAGGAACCGGTGTATTGGAACCCTTCGGTTTATCTTTTATTCTCATTTTGGCTTAACCCTTTCCATTTGGACTATTTTTTAATTTCATAGGGCCCAAACAGATTCAGTCTGCTTTCAGGACAGGGTCAACTTTGAACTGTCGTAACACCTTGAGCTTTGATTTTGCACTTGTGCTTTTCTGTAGCCCTTTACATGTACTTTTAGCACTATGAAGCACTAAATGTTAGCTTTATTGTTTGAGAAGTAAGTGACAAAATTATCTGTTTTTGCTCGAGAGCTCAAGACCTTTAAATCACAGTGAGGGGTGAAGGGTGGGGGTATTTGTGCATCGAGACTTGAGAGGGTATGAAGTAGTTCAATTAGAGCATCCATCCAAAATTGTTTCCGTTTCCGCCGGAAATTTGTTGGATTTTTTGTTATATTTTTCAACATCGGAAAAGGAATTTACAGAAAAATTCCGGCGGAAACTATCAAGTATGAGTAAAGTATTTGTATCCATGATCTGTGTCGTGTCCAACGGATGAAATATTTATCTTGCCTACATTTAATCAACAATATATTATTTCTTTGGATATTAAGTCTATGAATGGCCAGTGATTTAAAGGTTTCAAGCTCTCAAGCAAAAATCTATGAGAATTTTGTCTTTTCCTTCTTTAAAAGCAAAGCCAACAACAAGTGCTTTATACTGCTAAAATGTACATGTAAAGGGCTACAGAAAAAGCAAGTGCGTAGAGCGGTAAAATCAAAGCCAAAGGCTTTGCGACACTTTAAAGTCGACCCTGTCTTAAAAATTTATGGGACTTTTTTTTAAGCAGGCTGAATCTATGTTATATAAAGCTTGTAGTTAATTCTAAGGGTAAAACGATAAAAAAGTCCAAATGGGAAAAAGATTTGTCGTTTGACCCTAGGTCGTTTTACGCTTTGTCGTTTGACCCTGTGGCATTTGACCCTAGGTCGTTTGACCATATGTCGGTGAATCTATGTATACAATTATAACTTCTCCTATTGCAAAGAACTATTGAGAAGAACGCATATGTTTAGAATTTCTAGTAGGTAATCGGATAAATCTCATACTGAAGGAGCTAGGAAGTCACAAAGTCATACCAGTAATGTCATATTATTTGACCTTCTCCTTCTCTGCTTTTTATGCTAACTAATGTAACAGTGGGCGAGTTTTGTTGATCTTTTACGATCAGCAATTCAAGGATTTTTTGGATCGCTGAGATCATAGCTACCAAGGGGAATCATGCCCCCTTTCCCCCCCCCCCATCTTTAACCCTACGGTTGGACTTTAGAGTCCTATTTTGAATCCTAACGGATTTATTTGAGTTTGCATTTGGATTCTATAAATAACCCAAGCGACGCCGAATTTTCCGTTATCTTGAAGACCCAAGCGTTGGGGAGGGGGCGGAACAACCCCGTGGTAGCTAGGGTTAAATGCGATCCTAGGATGGAGCGAAATCGAAGGGGGACAGGCAGTTGTGATTCAGCTCCCTTGAATTAAGGTTCCCTTGAAGAATTCCCCTATTTGATGAAACTAATTTGATTAACAATATTTAATTTGTATAAGTGAGACGATGAAAATGCAAATGTAAAATGTCTCCTGTTTGATAGAACTGATTAGATTCATAACATTTAGTTTGTATTAGTATCGTTCGATTTAAAGTTTGTATCTTTTGTATATAAATATATTGTAAGAAAAACCGACTCGTCGAATATTTGAGAAACTCAGTGCATTGCTTTATTGATTTTTATTCATATACTATACTAATTCCGGCTTTTATTAAAAGGCATCTTTGCTTTACAAGAAAGGTTAAAAATAAAATAAATCTACAAACACCAACTTGCTCTTTAGTCTATATGATGTAAGAATATACTTTTTTATACTTCATCTAATAAAGAGTCTTTACTCCCCTCGACCAAGTTTTAGTGGGGATTGGGTGTTACGATCCCTCTTGAATATTTAGTTTTAAAAAGTTTTAATATATTCCTTCGTGATTTTTCTCTTTCAAGAGTTTCCATCAGATCTCCTTCAACTCTCTTCCACTTACCTAGAGTTATAGACAATTATCAGTAGAGATGGGCATTCTAGAGTTATAGACAGTTATCACTAGAGATGGGCATCCTAGAGTTATAGACAGTTATCAGTTGAGATGGACATCCTAGAGTTATAGACAGTTATCAATAGAGTTGGGCATCCTAGAGTTATAGACAATCATCTGTAGAGATGGACATCCTAGAGTTATAGACAATTATCAGTAGAGATGGACATCCTAGATTTATAGACAGTTATCAGTAGAGATGGGCATTCTAGAGTTATAGACATGTTATCAGTAGAGATGGGCATCCTAGAGTTATAGACAGTTATCAGCAGGGATGAGCATCCTAGAGTTATAGACATGTTATCGTAGAGATGGACATCCTAGAGTTGTAGACATGTTATCAGTAGAGATGAGCATCCTAGAGTTATAGACATGTTATCAGTAGAGATGGACATCCTAGTGTTATAGACGATTATCAGTAGAGATGGGCATCCTAGAGTTATAGACAGTTATCAGTAGAGATGGACATCCTAGAGTTATAGACATGTTATCAATAGAGATGGGCATCCTAGAGTTATAGACAGTTATCAGCAGAGATGAGCATCCTACAGTTATAGACATGTTATCGTAGAGATGGGCATCCTAGAGTTGTAGACATGTTATCAGTAGAGATGGGCATCCTAGAGTTATAGACATGTTATCAGTAGAGATGGACATCCTAGAGTTGTAGACATGTTATCAGTAGAGATGGGCATCCTAGAGTTATAGACAATTATCAGTAGAGATGGGCATCCTAGAGTTATAGACATGTTATCAGTAGAGATGGACATCCTAGAGTTGTAGACATGTTATCAGTAGAGATGGGCATCATAGAGTTATAGACAATTATCAGCAGAGATGGGCATCCTAGAGTTATAGACAGTTATCAGTAGAGATGGGCATCCTAGAGTTATAGACATGTTATCAGTAGAGATGGGCATTCTAGAGTTATAGACAATTATCAGTAGAGATAGACATCCTAGAGTTATAGACAATTATCAGTAGAGATGGACATCCTAGAGTTATAGACAATTATCAGTAGAGATGGGCATCCTAGAGTTATAGACATGTTATCAGTAGAGATGGACATCCTAGAGTTGTAGACATGTTATCAGTAGAGATGGGCATCCTAGAATTGTAGACATGTTATCAGTAGAGATGGGCATCCTAGAGTTATAGACAATTATCAGTAGAGATGGGCATCCTAGAGTTATAGACAGTTATCAGTAGAGATGGGCATCGTTTTTTGAACGAACGAACGAATTTTTCTTTTTAACTAAACCAATTAATTTTTGAAAAACGATAGTTTTTTTAATTTTATTTGATTTTATTAAACGAACAATTTTACTGAACGATCGTTTATGGAGACAACGAACGAAAAAGATGGAAAATTAACGCTATTTTTGAACACAAACGAAAATTCTTTTTAATGATTGAAAAAAACCGAACGAAACCGAACGATGAACAAACGAAATGAAAACATTCGAACGTGTCCATCTCTTCTTATAAGTCAACAAGATATTAGATAAAAACAGTAATCAGTCAACGAGCTATTAGATATAAACAGTAATCAGTCAACGAGCTATTAGATAAAAACAGTAATCAGTCAACGAGCTATTAGATCAAAACAGTTATCAGTCAAGGAGCTATTAGATCAAAACAGCTATCAGTCATAGAGCTATTAGTTATAGAGAGTTATAAGTCATAGAGCTATTAGATATGAACAGTTGTCAGTCATAGAGCTATTAGATATAACTAGTTATCAGTCATAGAGCTATTAGATATATATACAGTTATCAGTCATCGAACTATTAGATATAAACAGCTATCAGTCATAGAGCCAGAAGATATAGACAGTTATCAGTCATAGATCTAGTAGTTATAGACAAGTATCAGTCATAGAGTTATTAGATATAAACAGTTATCAGGCATAGAGCTAGTAGATATAGACAGTTTTTAGTCATAGAGCTAGTAGATATAAACATTTATAAGTCTTAAATCTTAAAGATACAAACCACTTATTTAAAGAGTGGAAAATATTTAGTCTAAAGAGCTCATGCTATTTTTTAAAATCATATTGAGTCCCTTTTAATAAACTTAAACTTACAAAGATTGAGTGCTGCTATTTCTTCAGCTTCTTCAATCTGTTTCTTATAGTTATTTATCTGCTGCTGCATCTTATTCACCAGTTCCTGGATATATATAAAACATTAAAGAGGACTGTTCAGTATTCCTGGAAATAGAAAAAACATTAGAGAGGACTGTTCAGTATTCCTGGAAATAGATAGAACATAGAGAGGACTGTTCAGTATTCTTGGAAAAAGATAAAACCTTAAAGAGGACTGTTCAGTATTCCTGGAAATAGATAGAACATTAGAGAGGACTGTTCAGTATTCTTGGAAATAGATAAAACCTCAAAGAGGGCTATTCAGTATTCCTGGAAATAGATAAAACATTAAAGAGGACTGTTCAGTATTCCTGAAAATAGATAATATTTAAAGAGACTGTTAAGTATTCCTGGAAATAGATAAAACTTTAAAGAGACTGTTCACTATTTCTGGAAATAGATAAAACACTATAGAGCCAAGCATTGATCTTAATCTTTTGTAGATCTACGGAATAAATTAAATTCCTCTTCATGATATCCTGAGATAATCTAATTCCCTGCAAGTATAACTTCCATTGAGGGGAGGACGCATGAAAGAATTTTCTATATTCAGTTATCAGTAAACACACCTGGCACACTACCAATAAATAAATAGTTTAATGTTTCAACTGACAGCTCAAAAATGACAAACAGTCGTTTTGCTAAAGTCTATCATACCAATTATCATGGGTCCTATTTGGCATTTATTTAATTTATCTTTCAAAACTGGGTTTATTCCTACCACTCTTAAAACTGCAAAAATCGTCCCAATCTTCAAGGCTGGGGAAACGGATAATTTTACAAANGCTTTGATATTTGTTGTGTACATGTCAGAAAATTACTTTAAACTCTAGTTATTCGAATTAGTGTATAAACTATTTTGCATATGATAAATTTGCACCCTGATCTCTAATCGTTCTCCTTAAGTCTATTTAATTGAAATATTTTGTTATTATTACTAAAGTTAGGTGGAAAAAATAATCAAAACACCCAAGAGCTATTTTCCACCTAATTGCTTTATACTTGTACTGTTAATATAATCATCAATTTGTAATTGTAAACTCTATCTGTATACAGATACATGTATTTTAGCAATAAACTTTATCTTATCTTATCTTATCTTATTAAAGTTTGACATTTGTATTATGTAAAATATTCAACATTGCTAAAAATAAGTTTTTAAACTCAAACTTCTGACTTCTTAAGGACGAAATGATATGCGTTTAAATATCTAAATCACATATTGCCGGAAATTTAAGAGATTATCGTTGAACGAAAGTTTTCTTTTTTATATTTTTCAGCACAAATATTGTTATTTACAAAACTGTCTAACCCCATTCATTAATCTGGGTTTCAAACTTTCATTACGTTACTCTGGCTTAAGTTTCCGGCTCCATTGAATCTAGAATGTACAATTTTAAATATTTAAAAAAATAAAAGTTATTCCTTGAAGTTTAAAAGCTGAAAATGATGAATAATGTGTCTGTTAAGCAGAATGATGTCAGATAATGAATTGAAGACGAAATATTCCCGCTGGAGTTTAAGAGTTCATTAAAGGAACTGTACGCGTAATTTCAAGTAACCCTCCATGTAAGACAATGTCAAATTTACAACAGCGGTATCCTTGAAACCTTGATCTGATTAAAAATGTGAAAAATAACATTTTTTTTAGACTCGAAAAGTGTTAAATTGTGATAATTTCCCCATTTTTTCTTACAGGGTGAATAGGAAATCGATCTATAATCCTTTTGATCTAAAGGCAATCTGATCTAAAAGAATCTGATCTAAGTGGACTTAGATCTAAAAAAAAAGTTAGACCAAATTCCAATTCTTTCGGGAAAGGAATTGAGTTTTTGCAACAAACTTACATTTTCTAACCCCCATATATTTGCAACCTGATGGTGTAAACCTTTTATATTTCAAAATTAGACTATTTGATCTACCAGAATTAATAGTTTGAAATATCAAAGGTCTAGAAAAACGGGTTGCTAAGTTATAGGTATTAGAAAATCTGAGTTTGTGGCAAAAACTCAATTCCTTTGTGGAATTTGATCTAAAATTTGGATTTTATATATTTTCAGCCAAAAATGTCATTTAAAAATGTTTATTTTTGAAAACAATATTTTAGATCCAATTCTACATATTACGGATAAAATTCCCAAATTTTGTGCAGAAATTAGATTGGAAGTACAGAATTAAAAATAGTAGAATTAGGTCTAAAAAATGTATAATCTGATCTAAAATATAAAGAATTCGATCTAAAAAATGTATAATCTGATCTAAAATATAAAGAATTCGATCTAAAAAATGTATAATTTGATCTAAAATATGAAGATCCTGAACCCATGAACCCAACTCTTTCACCATTAAGGTGTCAACCTTACACATTTCTTAACTTTTAAATCTAATATTTTTAATCAAATTATAAAATTTTAGATTAAAGTCTACATTTTTTAGATTAAAGTAAACACTTTTAAGGTCAAATTCCATATTTTAAGCAAATAATTTAAGGATTTGAAGCATAATGGTTAGCTGAAATATATATTTTTTGAAAAAAAAATTTTTAGATCACATTCAACATATTTTAGATCCAATTACACATATCTTAGATCAAAATCACAACTTTGGCAGAAGAAATATTTTGAAAATCTTCACTTGAGAAAAATATAAAAATGAACAGGGAGCTCAAATTTGAAAAAAAAATATTTTAGATCGGATTCTACATTTTTTAGATCGAATTCCAAAAAATTTCAGAAAAATGCGGACTTAGATCTAAAAAATATTTTAGATCAATTTCCACGTTATTTAGATTAAATTCTCATTAGATCAGATTACTCTTAGATGAAATTCCTTTAAGATCAAAAGGTTCATAGATTAGTTTCCCGAACAGGCTTGAAATTACGCTTACAGTCCCTTTTAATACTTGATACAATAAAGATGCTTCTTCACTATTTCTTATAAAAGGCAAAGTGGAAAAACTTTCTTAATATGGTTACGCGGATAAAAGATAAAATGGCAGATTAAATTTTGCATTCGCTATTTCTTTTCAATAGAATTACAGGATATTTTTATATCGTTTGTACTTTTTGTACATTTTCAAGATATATATTATTAAACAGGTACAATAGCAATATTCTTTGCTGAATTTCTCGTTAAATGGAGTATTCGCGAAAAATAAAAGGGGGCTTACGGCTTACGGCGAAAAATAATCGCTTTTGATCGCTTCTAATCTTACTTCTATTTGTTGCGTCTATAAGGAGAAAATTATTAAAAACGACTTATACTGAAAAACGTAGCATCCATACAAATTCAGAAAGTTGTAACATACGACTTGCATCGTAAAATAATCAATTTAATGTAAAACAAATCATTCAGATATTACAACCTAAGTCTTTTATTATCTTTCGACGCATTCATATATACTTAATATTTCATAATATTTGTTATTTGTTTTATATACAATGCACTAAAAACGACTTTTTTAAGCTAAGTGTCTCTCCCACGTGTTATCATTCAGAGCATCCAGAGCAGAGACATCTGGCGGCCAATTAATACGGCGTTTTTAGTTCATTTTATACAAACATTTTACCTACAAAAGATGAGACTTTAGAGACAACCTGAAATTCTGTACTTCTGGAGATTTAAAGACTTAATCTTAATTCGGGTTTACTAAAAGATTTGCAAAAAAAGCTAAATATTAGAAGATATACAGTCGTCGTCGTATGTATCAATACAATGGATCTAGGCAACCTAATGTTGTGCACCCTAGATATTTTAAACTATGAATTCTGTTAGAGCAAACAATCTTAATTTGAAATATCAAAGGTTTACAACAACAACACTTTCTTTAATTTTGAGAAAGATAATTATTCTAGATTGGTTTAAACTGTAAAAAGTTAAAAAGTTCCAGAAATTCTCAACCTTGATTTACAATTTAAAAAGAATATTTAAAAAATTGTTCCAACCTGTATTTTCTCTGAATTCTTCCTGCTGTGTTGAATCTTGATCTCAAGTGTATTGGAGTCCCTCTCCACCTTCCTCTGATTCTTCACCAGGTTGTTGTTCTTCCTTCTCTCCGACTCCAGGCTCTCCTCCAGATCTTGGATTGTCGTCTTCAATCTCCGGGTACTCTTCTCACCCCATCTACAAATTGTCATTCAACATATTTGCTAGATGTCCGGTTAAAGTTAAAAAAAATACTGTGAAAAATAGAAAAAATACAAACTTTTTCGAAAAATTTCTTATTTCTTCCTGAAATTGAATTTTGCAAAGCTAAAACTATGCGAAATTTAGTGGGAAAAAGTAAAATATGCAACAATTTCACGAATATTTTGAAATTTTGACCAAAATTTTCGTATTTTTTATTTATAATTTTCCATATCATTAACAAAATCTGCTGGAAAAATGGTAAAATATTTAGCATAGCCGCGTCAGTTATTCCTTACTACTCCCTGGAACAAACAAATAGCAGAACACCCAAACCAAATTAATTTTTATATTTACAAAAACAAAAATGGTGGCATGGAAAGCAACCCTTATATGGACTGAAATCATAAGTAAGATAATTTGTCTGTTGTTTTAATTAGTTTTTCATGATTTTGCAAAAAATTGTTTTCACTTTGCATTCGTACTTCTGCAATTGTCACGAAAAAAAAATTCAATAGAATTTTCATTTACAGAGCAGGATGTTCAATTCACAACGATACCTTAAAAACTTTATCTCAGCCAAAAAAAAGAAAAATCGTAATTTTTCAATTTTGAAAAGTGTGAAAATAAGAAAAAAGTTTGTATTTGAAGGGACTGTAAACGTAGCAAATCTTCTATTTAAAAAACTATATAGAATTAGAATTAGAATTATAATTAGAAAGATATCTTCGTTTTTCTTTCTTAAAAAAATCCTTACAATCTCCTTAATTGTCTCTGGGCAAAAAGCTTTGGTTCTAAGGAGGGCGTTTCCTGCCCCCCCCCCCCCCCAAAAAAAAAAGCCTAGGAGTAAAGGTTTGGATTTCCATGACGTTTAGATTTCGAGGCTAGCTAATTAAAAAATTATACTTTTTTAACAATGGTAAAAACAAGTTGGAAAAGTTAAAAAAAATATATTAATTTTTCAAGAGTTTTTCAAAATCATTAATTAATTGTTTTTTTTAAATGTACAAAAAAACCTAATAATTACTGTTTCTCGAAAGAAATTTCAAGTTTTTATTATGCTTAAGGAGACACTCTTTATGAGAGAATCATGTTAACCCTGTTTAGCGTTTATAAAACAAGATTGCAAAAACTTTGAAGTATATCATTTTCTGGGTCTGAAGGAATAAAATATAGCGAAGTTTGGTTAGATGTTTTCCAATTTAAAATATTCAACATAAATGCATTTAGTGTCGAGGGTAGGATCTCCTTAATACATTAACAGATCAGGTAGATAAATGCAGGGTTGACGCGGACCGGGGGTCTGGCAAGTTTATACGTGCAGCAACTGTTATGTAAAATAGCACAATGTGCCTAAAGAACGAAAATATTTGTATTTCTATAACTACTGAGACTAAGTTCAAGGCATTATCCCTCCCCTGAACCACTTGACACACTGTAAAAAATATAATATACCCAAAATCTAAACCAAGATTGATTCATTAACTCGAAATATGCAGCTACATGCAGCTACATGCAGCTACATGCAGCTACATGCGTAAGATGGAAATCTTAGATGTTTTCTATGATAACTCAATTAATTGAAGTGTTATTGAGAAGAAAAAAAGTGTTTTAAATTTCTGATTAAGAAACCGGATATATTTGCATTTCTCATATATATGCGTAAAAGAAAATCAGAGAAGCTACAAGATAACAAAATTGTACCAGTGAAGTTGCAAAGTTGTACCGGTGATGTTGCAAAGTTGTACCGATGATGATGGAAAGTTGTACCAGTTATGTCCCAAATTTGTACCGGTGATATTGCAAAGTTGTACCGGTGATGTCGCACAGTTGTACTGGTGATGTCGCAAAGTTGTACCGGTGATGTTGCAAAGTTGTACCGTTGATGTCGCAAATTTGTACCGGTGATGTCGCAAAGTTGTACTGGTGATGTCGCAAAGTTGTACCGGTGATGTTGCAAAGTTGTACCGGTGATGTTGCAAAGTTGTACCGGTGATGTTGCAAAGTTGTACTGGTGATGTTGTAAAGTTGTACCGATGATGTTGCAAAGTTGTACTAGTGACAGCGCAAAGTTGTACCGGTGATGTTGCAAAGTTGTATCGGTGATGTTGCAAAGTTGTACTGATGATGTTGCAAAGTTGTACCGATGCTGTTGCAAAGTTGTACTAGTGACAGCGCAAAGTTGTACTGGTGATGTCGCAAAGTTGTACTGCTATGTTGCAAAGTTGTACTGGTGATGTTGCAAAGTTGTATCGGTGATGTCGCAAAGTTGTACTGGTGATGTCGCAAAGTTGTATCGGTGATGTTGCAAAGTTGTACCAGTGATGTTGCAAAGTTGTATTGGTGATGTTGCAAAGTTGTACCGGTTTTGTCCTAAAGTTGTACCGGTGATATTGCAAAGTTGTACCAGTGATGTTGCAAAGTTGTACCGGTGATGTCGCAAAGTTGTATCGGTGATGTCGCAAATTTGTACCGGAGATGTCGCAAAATTGTACCTGTGATGTGGCAAAGTTGTACTGATGATGTTGCAAAGTTGTACCGGTGATGTCGCAAAGTTGTACCCTCTCCACCT